TATATATATATAATATTTTATACAAATCTGTTGTAATTATTCTGGTTTAATAAATGTAGATTTGAATTGAACTGAATTTAATTGAAAAGGTAGGCTTTTCGGTACTTTAATCGTAAGTGTTTTTTGTACATAGTAAACTACGAGCCGTTGAAAGGATAGTGATGTTTTAGACAGAACATTTTAAGATGCTTCACATAGGTTTTAAAGTAGCAGGATATAAATTAAATCAAAACAAAACAAAAGATAAATAATCCAAAAAATGCTACCCGAAGAAGGACAAACTGGTGATGGCCGTTCATAGGCCTACCCAGTGGTTCATAGCACAAAACTTATTAAAAAGTTCACTTAGGGAAATCGAAAAACACGTTGACGTTTAAATTATATGCAAACTAAGAAGCAAAATGAATGCAAATGCTCACTTGCAAGATATGCATTCTGTGACAGTGAATATAAGAAATGATTATTTTACTAATGCTATTATTATTATTATTATTATTATTATTATTATTATTATTATTATCATAATCATCACCATCGGCGTCGTCGTCACCATCATCCTCATCATCATTACATTCATCATCATCATCATCGTCATTTCATCATCACCATCGTCATTATCAACAACATCATCATTCTCATCATCTTAATCATCATCATTATCATTATCATATCATCATCAGGTCTTATAATTAGCATTATTTTATTATTATTATTATTATTATTATTATTATTATTACTATTATTAGTATTATTATTATTTATGGTTTTTTCGTTTATTATTAATATTGACATTAAAAACACGAAGTAGTCATCCTACCTGATTTCTTATTTTCCGTCTTCACACTTTTCATCGAAAAGTGTTCATTTTCAAACGCTTCGTCCGTTAGTGTGTTGCCAGTTGTGACGTCACTTTTTATTTGTAAATCACAAGAATTCGAAGTGGTACCAGCATTCGATTGGTTGGAACTCGTGGAGAAACCTTCATCACGAAGCCGACAATAACCAACCGGATTATAGTCGAGACTATTGGAAATATACACGGCCGCAACCTTTGACACAAAGATAAAATAACACACGTCTAAATTGACTTTTGCAATAACAAGTTGAGCTACTGCAATAAAATAGAAAAAATAGGTTAAATATTCGAGTTTTCTCAGAATTTTTTCTATGCATTAAGGACATACTGTATTTTCTTCTCCTATATACACAGACAGGCGAATGTAATTACCGTATTTCAGGGGGCGCTAGCAAGTGATATGAGGTGATTTTTAACTAATTGTTTTGCTTCGAACGTTTCCAGTGCGAGGAGGAAACTGGGGGAGGGGCGAACTTTTTCACAAACACGTCTACAAACGCTCTCCCCGCCCGCACTGCCGTCTCTCTGAAAGTTGATAAGTTAAAATGATTTATTTAAATAATCAATTACATCTTTTAATTTTCTCTTTGATTAGGTTTTTCCCCCTATTTATCACTGTCAGTCGATGCAATTCGATAAATACACTCATGTTAAAATTATATGATTTTCATGAAATTTTAATAAATAATAAATAATAGTTGGATTTGTAGAGGGCATCATGCGAAAAAGCCTCTATGCCCTTGGTGATTGAGCTCTTTGAGTTGGACATTTTGAGAAAAAAGAAAGTTGAAGTTATTTTATGGAACAAAAAAAACATACTCCTTAAACTAAGGCATGGTTGGCCGTTGGCTCCGAGGAGTTCATCCGCCCTTTGTTCAGCCGTTTTTTTTCGTGCTGCTGGGTGTCCATCCACCCTCCCATTGGCGGCCGCTAAAGACCACCAGATGGGGTTGTCGGAATTAGTCGTCGACGACTCGACCGGATGCAGTTTATAACGTCGTGCCCAGGACACTATAATCCTAATCTACACTTACATACACTAAAATAAACCAACTTAAATAATTGGTTGAACTATTCCCATAATTAATAAATGAAGGTTTCGTGTCAGAGGTCGGCAAATCAACAAAACAGGAATTTCTTGAACTTTGACTTGAATATATTTTACAAACCATTTAACCGCCCCACGGATATACCGGTAATAAAATACTAAGTTTGTATCATAAAAAATTAAATTAAGTTAATACAGTACAGTTTATTTAGATCTATCATTAAAGTTTAACCAAATGCTGTTTTTAATATTTTACCTCGTTTTTACACTTTAACACTTCATCAATGGTTGTTTTCAGTGCAGTTTGTGTATCTTGATGTTTTACATTTCAGTATAGATTTTAGACAATGTAGAAATGTATGCATGTATATTCAACCAAAGTTTCTACTTGTGTTTGACCAATAAATAAATCTTGAATCTTGAGTCTTGAAGTGTGGACTAACATTGGTATCGGGATCTCTTTAAGTCCCGTCACACATAACCTTACCCACAACCACATACCGCCATATTATGTCCAATTGGGAATCAATATAATAGTTGTCCCATCGATGTACATGAATTATTGAAAATCACGGTACTTAATGGATCGTTTTATTTCATTTTTATTGAAAGACTTCGTGGATAAAGTAAGCAGCATATGCAATGGCAATGCAATTGAAGACAAAATTATATGTTGCTTAATGTTATATTATGTTGTGTGTATTTATTTATTTAATCAGAGTTCATGGGTCATTAATTTATAGTCTTAACTGCAGCATAATTTATTTAGAACTTATTATTGATTCTTTGATACGCCATATATCTAAAAAATATATTTATTTTTGATAACATGTCATACATATATAATTTGTAACCTTTTATCCTTTTCAGCATTAAGGCACTGACTTATCTATATTTAGATACAATTCAAAAATGCAGACGGGCATAGGCTAGGCCTACCTTTACTGTATTCTTTTGCATAAACCCTTAAATTGGTTGGTACGGTAATCAATTTTAAGATTTTAGTAAAATATCTGTAAATCAGCGAAAACCTCTGTTTCTGGTTGGAAGTTAATGACTTGATCCCTTGGTGTCAATAACAAAATCATAAACTTCCGATGACGTTTAGAGCAATCTCGAGACAACCATCTGGTGGTTTTTACCTCAAAAACCATATTTTTACAATGGTGTACCAAAAGTTTATGATTTTCTTCCCTTTAAATAAGCTATTCAATGTTTTAATTGAATTTTTGAGATTTTCCCCGATTTTTCTTTGGCAGGCCGTACATTTTCAAATGGCAATTTTTCACACAAACATAACGTACGGTAATGCTCTCATTACAAGTCTCGTTATCAGGCATGAGAATAGAGTCGCCTGTCGATTCAAGCAACATCCTTCTTTAATGTATGACTTAAATAATGTTTTATGAATACTGAATGATATAGTTAAATAATGTAACAACATGAAAAATACGAGGTATGGCTTATTAATATTAAGTTAAATGCTTTATACGTTGTTGGAATTCACGGCAGGGAATGTAAACTCAATGTAGGCCGTATTACATTTTCACGTTCAACTATATCCTACCTATTGATTAACATCTATTCAACGTTGTTACTTTTTACAAATTCCTTAATTAACTACTTGATGGACTGTGGGGAAGCAATCTTACCTGTTGACTAATAGGACGAACAATGAGAAGCCCTAGGTTGTGTTAACCGTTAAAATCGGCATCAAACAATTAACGAGCGCAAAAATAACTCCATGCAAATTCGATGCGACAATGTGCTTTGTCAAGAATGAGCAATTTTGTCAAGTCCTGGTAGACTAAATTGATTTCAAAGGGGATATCAACAACATTTACTCTTCAGTGATTGTAGCAGATACGGTGGGAGATCTTCTCTTAATTGATATCGAAAATTAAGCAAATAGTCTTGTGAAGTCAAATCATCAAACACTGAATGGATAAATAGGTGCATAGCCTTGCTTTATAATCGCCTGCCGAGGCTTTGACAATTCATAATCTATCAAAGAATTCAGGTAATTGATAGAAGGATTATTAACTGTCTTGTCAAAATTAGAAATCCCTCTTGTAGATCATGTGTAGCCCTAATTGTTCATTTAGTTTACATGGATAAGAACACCTAAGTTAAATTGGTTTGCTCAGGAGCATAATCTATTAGAGTTTTACTAGATCTCTATTGTGTAGAAAACAATTCCATGTGATTGCCATTTGAACTGGGTTTAAGTGAGTTTCAATCACGAAAGAATCAGCGTGATTTATCTCAATTGATTGAAGAAGGCAGTTGCTAACTGGCTGCCATGTACTATTTTATTCTGAGACCTTTACACCAATTATGTTTATTGTCACCATTTAACCATAAGATAATTTGGTAATCTTACAAGGAAAATTTCAGAAGGCTACCTTCGCATTGTCATAAAATAAATTTAGTATCTCAATTGGATTGTTCGTAATTCTTACCAAATAGTAATTCGGATGGCTGTTTACACGTAACAGCCACGTAATTTTAATGTATCAACTCAGACTAGAATAGAAAAAAAATGTCGTCGAAGTACATAAAGAAACATGTTTCTTGATCTGCAGGGAAATGCCTTTAAATTTCGCTGCTCGGACGGCCTTGTACAATATACAGTATGATGAATACCGCGAGTGGGATAGATCATATACGGTACTATATTTTAGATTTTGCCTTTTATGATAGGCCTACGATCGTTAATGATGACTGTAAGGTAGGCCTACTAATGGTACGAGATGCTTACTACGATCGTTTTAAGAAGTTTCTACTCCTCCTCCTTACCGTGCTCATTCCATTATCAAACTAAGAAGCGGCGTGTTAAGATGTTCTTCACACTAATTTGTAAAACTGACTATGGATGAAGGGCTGATGCTAAATTATTTAAGTATGCGTAAAAAGAACATGCGCTGATGACCTTTCTTCGCACATGTAGGGCTATGTACTTGTCCCCGCCACTAAGTCGTTTAAAATATGTAGGCCTAAGAATATACATAGAACTCCTACATCTACTTCAGTCAGCCATGATAAGTGACGTCTAATTTTTTTACTTTAAAGTCAACTTACATCTCTTTGGTTTTGGTAATATTTAACAAAAGATGAAAGAACACCACTTGTGAGTGATCCGTTCACCCCTTATCCCCCAATAACCAAAGATAGCGATATCGTCATCAAATTTATATATTTGACAGCCGGGGAGAGATTGTATAAAATGAATAGGTCTATTGAGGGCAATAAAACACACTCGTGCAGCACGCCAGTGTTAATTATGCATATTTATTAACTTCAAATTACCTATCCTAATAAACTGTCATCCACCAATTAGAAAGTCAAACACCCGGTTTATTTAAAGGCCCGTTTGAAGGGGAGTTTTTCATATATAGAAGGCCATGTGACGTACGACTTCATCTCTTCGACACTTAATATGGTACGGGGCCTGCGACAGTGGCGTTTTGGCATAGGCCTAAGTGAGATTAGGCCCTATGGGGGTCGCGATAATAAATTGAGTGGAGTTAGATAAAAATAGGGGGATATGAGGTGACTTACTACTTCGTAAGGGCGCCACTGCAGCCCGCTGTGCCAAACGTCCGAGACACAAGGCCTAAGTCATTATTACTTGCTCAAAACCATCTTGATGTTTTCAGGCAATACGGATCAAACATCACCTGAAATAGGCACGATGTCATTATGAAAGATTGCTTGATTAGTGTTTTTATTGGCCTGTATATTACTCGTATATTACTCTTGTTACTACGTGCCTTCATCAGCTTTATATATTGTTACCTACACGCACGCGCTCACCATAATTATACTGCAAGCCACAATGAAACTAACACCGAAAATTGAACATAAAACGCGTCGTTAATTTACTCTGCATTCCGGCTAATTCCTTAGCAATGTAAGCACTTAAAAATGGAGTGTTTTCGATTAGATAACGTGCCTGTCTATTGGAAACTAACAGTTGTTGCGAAGTGATGTTTGAAAGTCAGCAGAACTGAATGTCATACATGAACACACGTTCTTTACTGCTGGTCACTTTTGGAATTTTAAATAGATTTAGAGATCCGTTCAGGGAGCTTGCTTTGACCAATACGTTTGTACTCAAATATAGACTATATACAAATATGTTTTCGAATCTTTACGTTGTTTGACAAATTTTTTATGGATGCTAAGCTATAAATATTAAGTATTAGTATAAGTAGGTCTAGCATGGTGTGTGAATAATAATAGTAGGACAGCAATATTATTATTTTTGTCATGTAGGTCTGTATATCAAAGGCTCTGATATTCATAAAAATGCTTTAAAAGATATGCTAATCGTTATTTTCATACAAATAATGCTACATATGGTCACAATGCAACTATAATATAATAATAACTATTTCAGGTTTGCATATTATTTATTATATCATAATATCATATTATATATATACTGTCTCTTATACACATTTAGTTATATCTCTTACATCAATATTCTATACACAATAATTGAAAAAACTCATCATCGTCAAAAGTTGACCCTACATAAGATTTACAAAAATAGTCAAATGTAATCATACCTTGCTACATTCTACTGGTCGGTAGAAATCATTATCTATCTGACATGATCTATAGCAGTTATTGTTCTTCTCTGCACATTGGTACGAGGAGTACGAGCTTTGGCTTGGCTCTAGGAGCGATGGTTGTTTACCGGTATCGGGTGAACGCCAAACATGATGATTTAAATAATGAGGAAATGCTAAAAAAAATCGTAAAGTAAATGAATTAATCTACTTGATTTCAATAATAAAATCACATTATATG